TGTCGGCGTTCCTGCAATCTGGCAACCAACGCAGGCACCGCTCTCTCGCGCTGGAGCGGAGCCTCATTGACTCTCGCCTGCTCGAGGTCGAGCTCTGCTCGCGTCTGCCCCCCCAGCGCCTGTTTGCACATCCTTGGCGCGTGGCGCTTGGCAGTCCTCAAGGCGGGCCCAAGCCCTCGGCTCAAGGCGGAGGGAGGGAGGGAGGGAGGGAGGGAGGGAGGGAGGGAGGGAGGGAGGGAGGGAGGGAGGCAGGCAGGGAGGGAGGGAGGGAGGGAGGGAGGGAGGGAGGGAGGCGGGCCCAAGCCGAAGCGTCCTCAGGCGGCCGGCGCGCGCGGGGGCGCAGGCGGAGCCGGCACGGCGGCCTCCCGGGGGCGACGGGGCCCGCGCGCCGACGCTCGGAGCGTGGGGAGTGCCTCGGGCGAGGGGAGGCGCCCGCGGGGCCCCCGCCCACCGCCAGGCCCCTGGGCGCTGGTCGGGCGCAGAAGACGAGCGCAGGGAGGCGGACGGCGAAGGACGAGCCCGCCGAGACCTCGTCACCACGGCGGGGGCGGGGCGAAAAACTTGGTCAGGAGCCGGGCCCCTGCGGGCCGCGCGCTGGCAACGACAACAACGACCAAGACGACCGAGCTCCCAGCGACACGACAAGCCCCCGGCCCCCTTCTTCCGCTTCACATCTGCCCACCGACCGCCGAGCCAGACTCGCAGACCCACCGGCCAACGCGGAGGGCTCGACGCTAGAAAACCGCTCTGCCCAGAGGGCATGCGCCACAAGGAACTTCCTACGTTCCAGGCGCCGCGCCGAAAGGAGGGAGCGGGAGAACGGAGAGAAACAAACCTGCCTCGAACATGCCCAGGCTGTGCGGCAGCATGAGGCCCTCCCCCCGACGCTAGACCTGCCTCGAGGACCGGTTTCACCTTAGTTAGGCAGCACGCGGCGCGAGGCAGCTCAAAGACCGAAAAACGCACCGCCACACAGCCAGAGTACCAACCCGACAACACCGACCGCGACACACCCACGCAAGCACAAACGACTGCATCCAAACGCTCCTGCGCGCGTACCTCGAGCACCAGAGCCGCAGGCACAGCCCCAGGACGCGCGCGAGACCCGACCGCAGGAACGAGGGTGCCACGGCCGTAGTGGCGTGGGCTGGGGTAGAAATGCTAGAGGCAGATAGCAAGTCCGCGCAACCGAGCGCACGCCAATGCACCCGCGAGCTAAGGAGGAACGTTGCCGAGCCAACGCCAGCACGGGGACCGCAGAGCGTTGCGAACACGAGGCTGCCACTGCCGTCCAGCGGAAGCCCACGATGCTACCACCATGTCCTGCCCACGCCGGGCCGACGAGGGCAATTCAGCAAAACAGACAACGCAGCAGCACAGGCATGGCCAATCCTGGCGGTGTCCACCCCACATGGAGTCACGTCTTCCAGGGTCGAGCTCCCGGAGACCACCTGCGAGGGCGCGCGCGACCAGCGCGACCAGCAGCAGCAGCAGCGGCAGCACCAGCACCAGCACCAGCACCAGCACCAGCACCAGCACCAGCACCAGCACCAGCACCAGCAGCACCAGCACCAGCAGCAGCAGCAGCAGCAGCAGCAGCAGCATCAGCACCACCACGATTACGATTAGCAGCAGCAGCACCACCACCACCACCGCCACCACCACCACGACCAGCAGCACCACCAGCACAACCAGCACCACCACGATTGCGACCAGCAGCAAAACCACTACGACCAGCAGCACCACCACCACGACCGCGACGAGCAGCACCACCACGACGGCGACCAGCAGCCCCACGACGGCGACCAGCAGCGCCACGACTGCGACAAGCAGCGCAACGACTGCGACCAGCAGCAGCACCACCACGACTGCGACCAGCAGCACCAACACCATGATTGCGACCCGCAGCACCACCACGACCACGACCACGACCAGCAACACCACGACTGCGACCAGCAGCACCACGATCACAACCGGGAGCAGCACTACCACGACTGCGACCAGCAGCACCACCACGACCACCACAACCAACACAACCAGCACTACCACGACGGCGACCAGCAGCACCACCGCGACTACGACCAGCACCACCACGACTGCGACCAGCAGCTAAACCACCACGACTAGCAGCACCACCACCACGACCGCGACCAGCAGCACCATCACGACTGCGACCAGCAGTGCCACGACTGCGACCAGCAGCGCTACGACCGCGAACAGCAGCACCACCACGACTGCGACCAGCAGCACCACCACCACGACTGCGACCAGCAGCACCACCACCACGACCGCGACCCGCAGCACCACCACGACCACGATCACGACCAGCAGCGCCACGACCGCAAACGGGAGCAGCAGCGCCGAGACTGCGACCAGCAGCGCCACTTCGACCAGCACCACCAGCGCAACCAGCACTACCACGACGGCGACCAGCATCACCGCCACGACTACGACCAGCACCACCACGACTGCGACCAGCAACAGTACCACCACGACCAGCACCACCACCACGACCGCGACCAGCAGCACCACCACGACTGCGACCAGCAGCACCACGACTGCGACCAGCAGCGCCACGTCTACTAAGACCAGCAGCACCACCACCACGACTGCGACCAGCAGCACCACCAGCACCACCAGCTCACCCAGCACCACGACGACGACGACCAGCAGTTACTGCCATCAGGACTACAACTTCCAGAAACAGAGGTCACGGCCCCTACCCGGCGCGCCAAGGCCAACAACGCCAACCCTCGCACCAGAGCCGCGCGCAAGCGGGCGGCCGCAGCAGGAGAAACAGCAGCGCAACAACACCAGTGCTACGAGGAGCGCGACCATGGCCAGCACCACGCGCACGAACACCAGCGCACGGAACAGCTCCGCGACCAGGGCGACCGAGGCCGGCAGCACCACGAGCAGCAACGCCAAGGACAACCCTCCAGAAGCCGCCGCGACGTGGGATGGGGTTACCGAGGCGTTCTCGCGCGGGCGAGGCCAGCCACCCAGGGCCGCCAGACGCACCCAGGGACAGCCCCCAAACACCGCGCCTGGGACACGCGGCGGCACCACCAGAGTCGCCAGAGCACGCGCCCGGCGGCGCAACGCCAATAATCGCTTCGCAGCGCGGACGCTCGCAAGCGGACCTGCCCGAGCCAACGGGCGAGGTTTCGGGCGAATCCGCGCCTCGGCCGGCGGAGGCCGAGACTCCTCCTCGAGAGCTCTTCGGTTCGCCGGGTCAGTCTCTGTCGCCGCGGCCTGCGGGACAGAGCCACTTTATCGCCCTGTTCGGGCGGGCGCCGGCGGCCGGATGGAACTTCTCTGGGCTGTTTACGCGGCCGCGCGCGAAGGCCAAGACGAAGCCGCGCGAGGGCCGGGCTCCCCCGCCGAGCATGGGCCGACCAGCCCGACAGGGACAACTGCCAGGTGCGCTTGCAGAGGTCAGACCCGAGCGCGTCGGGACAGGGCACCACCACGTGCTCAGACTGTTGCGGGGGGCTCGCCCACCTCCGCTGCATGGCAGACTTGTTCCGCATGTCCGCAACGTGCACCCGACGACCTGCCCGCAGTGCCGCGCGGAGCGGACGCCAAGCCTGTCCATACAGGAAACGCGTCGCCGTTACGGCGTGAATCCAGGAGGGCGCGCGGCCCCAGCCCGCGACACCAGCGCACAGGCCGCCCCAGATTACAGCGGTTTTCGGAGCTACGCGCGAGGCGAAGAACCACCGCCACAGGAGCCACCGCTGCTCCGAGCTCTCTGATGCGGACGCCTCGGCCCGCCACCCGAGCTCTCCGAAGTGCCAGACCGCCGCGTGGAATAGTCACCGGAGAGCGCCGCACGAGACGCCAGCGGGAGGATCACGCAGTGGCTGGAGTCATGGCTTTGCCCGCGCTGCGGGGCGCGCTGCGCTGTCGACACGATCGCACCACAGGGCGGCCAACAGATGCGCGCGAGGCGCCCGGGGCCGGGCGCGCGGGCCGCGGAAGCCAGCGCGGCCAAAGGCGAACGGAAGTGCGGTTTGCGCGAACCAGACGCATGGACCAGAGAAGTTCCTGCTGCCCCACAGGCCGCCGCAGCCGGCGCCTAGCCGCCAGCCCCCCCGCCAGGGCAAGAGCGAGCCACCGCGAGGCCGCCACAGCGCAGCCCTTTCGCCGGCTGGGCTCCACCGCAAGCGCCCCTCCAGGCACGCACCAACTCGGCCGCGCGCGCGCCCCTGCTGGCGGCCGCCGGGTTTTTAGACCCAAGAGAAGGGGCGCAGTGGAGTGAGCGCTGCCTCGCGCAGGCCCGGTGGCAGCCGACGGTAGAGACGCTGCGGCTTGCGGAGCCTGTGCCAACAGGGCTCTTCGCCCAAATGCTCGCGCGCACCGACGCCCGGCCCGGGGAGGCACCAGCAGTGCTTGCTGCAGACGGAGGAGACCGCCCAGGGCACGCATCCTTTGCGCCAGTCGCCCAGGCCGCGGCGCACGGCAGCACCGGCTACATGCGGCCGCCAGTGCAAGAACTCCGCCTCCTCGAAGCATTCGGCCGACGCGTGCTTGCACGAGGAGTTGACGTGCGCACAGACGAACTGCGCAATCCAGCTCTCTGGGCAGACGTCGCGCCTCCGCCGCCGCCCCCACCGCCAGGGGCGCCCCCGGAGCCGGAACTGCCCGGAGACCAGCATGCGAACGGCCCCGCCGCCGTGGCGGGCGGAGACGCCCCCATAGACAGCAGCGGCTCCAGCGAGAGCAACTCCAGCACCGAGGAGTCTGACCACGAGCGCGGGCCCGGGCCCCAAGCGAAGGACCCACCGAAGAGTCCTGGGCAGCTCCCGGGGGCACCGACTTCCAACAAGAGCTTCGGAGATTTGTGCCGACGCTGCAGAACGTGCCACGTTTCCTGCGCGCGGAGACCCGGATGGCGCCAATCAGGGCCCCGAGGAGGATCAAACGAGGACACGACCAGGGCAGCCAGGCAACAACCCACCAAGGATGGACACTGCAACCTTCCTCGTCGCCTCTAGGCTCCTGCTAAGCAAGTCCAAGGGTACCGACGCCGAGGGCCGACAGGAGATCTTGGTACGCGCCCAACGGTTCCGCCAGGGCGACTGGCTGGCCCTGCAACACGAGGCCAACGCCACGACCGGCGCGCGCGCAACGCCGAGGCCAGCCACAGAGGAGCAACATCAGGAGCGACGCAGAGAACAGGCTTGCGCGCACGTCCAAGACGGCAGCCCGTCACGAGGGAGACAGGTCTTGACCGCGGCGGCGATCGCGCCCGGCAACAGGGAGACACTGCGCAGGCTGCTGTACCTGGCCCGCCAACCGCCCGCCCTGAGCCGCCGACTACCCACCGACCTAGACCGCGTAACCGACAGAGCGAGACTCGACAAAACCAAATTCCTCGCTTGCCTCCAGCCCCGCCAAAAAGGGCACGGCAGCAGGGCCCTCCGGGGTCCGTGTCGAGCACCTCGAGCTGTTGCTGGAACACGAAGAGTCCATGGACTTGCTTGGGTTCGCCGCCGCTGCTCTCGCGGAGGCGCGGGCGCCCGCCCCGATTGCCCGCGCTCTATCAGGAGGGAAAGAAACACACAGACACAATTAATCGTCGACTCCCAGGAAAACATTTGAAAATATGGGAAGTGGGGGGTTGGGGGGGGGCGAAAATTCAGAAAATATGATTAAAAATATAGGGGATCCAGTTATTTGTGATTGTTTATTTGTGTGTGTCCATGGGCCCCTTCACTCTAGCCCTCTGCAAGATGGCGGCGCCCCAGAAACCAGACAACGGAGCGCGAGGCATCGCCGCCGGCGACGTTGTCCGCCGATTGGTCATCAGGGCGCTCGCCCAGCAGTTCGCCGAGCAGTCAGTTCGCGGCCGCAACCGCGCCCTTCCAGTTCGCCCGAACGACGCGGGCAGGAACCGACTGCGCCGCCATGCTGTTGAGGTCAGTGCTGGACCACGACGACGACGACGACGACGCAGTGAGTGTCAGCATCGATGGAGTCGGGGCTTTCGACCACGTGTCGAGGTCGGCCTTCTTCCAGGAGCTCCTGGCTCGCCCAGAGCTGGCCGACCTATTCCTTCGTGAAGATGTGGTACAAGCAAGACTCCACCGACCTCTGGCAAGGCGAAATGGGGGCGGTGCACGACGTGCACCAGGGAGAGAGGGTGGAGCAGGGGGATGCGCTGGCCCCAGCCCTCTTCGAATTTGCCCTGCGCGGAGCGCTGCACGGAGCGCTGGCGGGCGTCTCCAGGACCCTCGAGCAGGGGGACTTCCTGGTCGCTCTCTTGGGCGACGTGCACATCAAGACCGCCCAGGCCAGGGCCAGAGCCGCTTTCGACACCACCACCGCCGGAGCAATTCACCTCCACGCGAACGCGGTTTGCCACCTCGGCAAGTGCTGGGCTTACAGCAGGGGCGGAGGCGCAGCGCCGCCCGGAATCGGCGAGCTGGGACAGTACGTCTGAAGGGGCGACAGAGCGCCACCCGACCGGGGGATCAAGATCCTAGGCGCCCCCTCGGCTCGCCAGAATTCGTCGCCGCACACCTTGCGAGCAGACTACAGGAGGAGAGGAGGCTCCTGGACGAACTGGCGCACCTGTCCGACCTGCAATGCGCGTGGCTCCTCCTCCCCCTCCCCTCCCCCCTCCCCTCCTCCTCCTCCTCCTCCTCCTCCTCCTCCTCCTCCTCCTCCTCCTCCTCCTCCTCCTCCTCCTCCTCCTCCTCCTTTGCGCCCCCCCGCAGGCCAGCCACCTGCTGCGAACGCTGCCGCCAGAGGAGATATCGCAGAATGCGCGAGAGGCCACGACGACGGCATGTGGACCACCCTGCGCCACCTCCCCGGGGACCCCGCAATGTCGCAAGAAGAGGGGCGACGGGCGCGCGCACCAACAGCAACGCCTGGACGACGCGGAGGACTCGGGTTCCAAAGCGCCGCGCGCACGTCCCCAGCGGCCTACTGGGGCGCGTGGGCAGACGCCTCCCATGCTCCACCAACGGCGCCCCGTTGAAGATGCAAGATAGCCTCCGACCTACCCCCAAGAGGGGGGGTCTCAGGGGCGACGATGAGTCAAGCAGTGGCGAAGCGTCCTGGCACGCCTATAGCCCTACCAAACAATGTTCTAAGAACCCTTGTGGTTTCCACGAAATGTTCTTAGAACATTTCTGGCTGGGAGCGTCTTGGTTTATCACATCGGGCTTGTGTTCTAAGAACAAGGTTTTTGTTCTTAGAACATTGTTGCATTCTTAAGGACATGTCGTGGTGTGACGGTCGGTCCCTGCTCAAATGAGGGGGGGCAGGCATAGGTCAGGCGATCGCAAGCATGGATCAAGGGGGCGCGGATCAGCGACGGGCCTTGTTTCCATTGGAAATCGCGGATTTCCGCCGCCGAGCGATGCAGCACCGGCTACGTTTTGGGGGCCTTCCGCCCGTCGTCACTTGGTGTGTCAGCCCTGTGTTCGTTAATCGGTACCGGGCCCCTGTTGGGTCAACCTGGCGCCACCTCGCGCACTGGTTCGTGGTGACCCGCGCCATTTTGGCTGCGTCGCGGCTCCGCCGCTTCCCGCGCTCGTGCGCCACGCTGCCTCGGGGTCTCTCGGCTACAGTCACCCTGGGAGGGGCAGCCTGCCAACGCGCTCGCCTCCTGGCGTTAATTCTTTGGCCGACGGCCCTTCGGGCCACCCTGGTACTCGCGCTCATGCCGATGTCCGGGGCCTCGCTTTTGCAATTCTCAATTCCATCTCGACCGACGGTTCTTTGGCTGCGGCCACCTTGGTGCCCACGCACTTGCCCGGGGTTCAGACTCATGCCTTGATTCTACAGCTTCCGACCCTGGTCGTCATTCACCTTGACCTCCTGGTGCTTCCGACGCCCTGCGTACTTGCACGCTGGCAATTCGATTCAGTCTCAGTCACCCCTGCCACCCGCCCGCCGCTGGGCCGCCGCGCGAGGCCTCGGCTTGTTGCGTTAGACGTGGACTGCCCCCGCTGCCTTCGCTTAATTCGTCTCTGCGTAGCCCGCTTTGACTTGACTCGCCGCCGGCGCGCTCGCCCGCGGCCGCTGACTTAAAAAGGATTCCCACCAGCCCGTTAGGCACGAAGGAACGCGGCTGGATATTTTCATTCTTCTCACCTAAAGCAGGGCCCGTCAGGCCAATTGTCTCGCACTTCCGTTCTTAGACAGCATGCAGTGGCCGATTGCCACCCTTGGTCTGGACCTCCGACATCGCGAATGCACGGTGGCTTGGGCGGGGGGCCTCCGACGGCGGCCCCCGCTTGTGTCACCCTAGACGCGACTCCTACAGCATTCGCTGTGGCCGACGTCCGACTTGCAGGCAGTGCTCCTTCCCTGGTGCCACTCCCTGCCCAGCCCCCGTTGCTCCCGCCCTCGGGAACAAGGACAGCGGGCTGCTGACAATACTGGCTCGCGGATCACCGCCGGGGCCGCGTGGTCCACCTGTCCCCCGCGGCCCTCTCTTTCCTAAACAGCGAGCGGTGGCCGTTAGCCACCTCCGGGATGGACCTCCGACATCACTTTTGGACGGTGGCTTGAGCGATGGCCTCCGACGACAAACCCCGTTTGTTTCACCCTAGACGCGTCTGCTGCAGTCCTTGCTGTGGCCGTCGCTGGACTTGCAGGCGGTGCTCCTGTGCCACTCCCTGCCCAGCCCCCGCTGCTCCCCGCCCTTGGACACTCGGGCAGTGGCCTGCTGACAATACTGGCTCGTGGGCAACCGCTGGGGCTGTGGTCCACCTGTCCCCCATCGGCCACAGGCCTGCTGTAGTTGTTTTCACACCTGGCGCGTCCCTTCCCCGCGCCCCCGGGTTGACACGTCGTGTCGGGGTGCCCCCCCCCTCGGCCGGGCTCCCGTTCTCCCCGCCGTTCGGTGGCGTTGTCCCCCCCCCGCCCTAGCGTCCTGCTTTTCCGCCCGAGTCGCGGTTTCTCCTCCCCTCGGTGGGGCCCACGGCCGTCTGTGGTTCAGCCTAGACTTTCCGTGCTCCCGCCACGCCGCGGTTGCAACCCTGGTTTTAGTCCGGGGTCCTCCCCGTGGTGTCGGTGCTCGCCTGTCGCCACTTCCGGTGCGCTGACTTCGGGCACGTGATCCGTCCCTTTTCAGGGCTTTTGGTGTGCGACTTTGCTGGCGCCACCCCATGCACTTGTTCGTGGTGACCCGCGCCATTTTGGCCGTGCGGCAGCTTGGCTGCTTCTCGCACTCGCGCGTTCTGCTGCCGTCGGACTTTGCGGCTTCGGCCACCCTGGTTCCTCGCAGCCTGCCAACGCTCACGCCCGCGCAGGGCACCAATTCGATTTCCGACAGTCGGTCCACTTGGCTGCGGCAGCCCTGGTGTTTTCGCAGTAGTCTGGGGGCTTGCGCCCTTGCATTAATTACTCGGCTTCTGTACCTGGTCGTCGGTCTTCCCGACTACCTGACGCCCCCGACGCCTTGCGTACATGCGCGCTGGCAGTACTACTCAGCTTCAGCCAGCTCCTTCCACTCGCCGGTCAGCCGCTGAGGTGCTGCGCGAGGTTCCGCACCGCCGCTTTAGGTGAGGCTGCGCCCCCGTGTTTTAGGTTAACTTTTCGTTGCGTGCTCCGCTTTGACTGGACCCGCCGCTGGCGCGCTCGCCTGCGGCCGCTGACAAAAAGTACCCCCGCCAGCCCGTTCAGAAAGGTTGCCCGTGAGAGCTGACGGGACAAGGTGCAAAGAAACACACACACACATGTATGTATGTATGTGTATATATATATACAAAAATCACACACACACAAATATTATATATATATATTATATATATATATATATATATATATATATATATATGTAGCGAACGAAGTGGGCAACTAGGAGAGAGATCTCCGGGAGCAAGGGGGTGGCTTTGGAGGGCCTCTTCCGGCCATTCTTGGGGCCCGCGGGGGGGGGCGAGGGGAGGAGGGGGAGGAGGAGGAGAAGGTAAACCGCCTCTTGGGGCCCTCGTGGGACGCTCTTGGAGCGCACTTGGGGCCTTTTTGGGGCCCTCTCAGGATCCCTGGAGGGCCTCTTGAAGCCATCTTGGAGGCGATCGATCAAAGGAGGGGTGGTCCTGGATGTGCCTCCCCCTCTGGGGCCATCAGAATCGCCTCTTGGGGCGCTCTTGGACCGCTCTTGGGCGATCTTAGGGCCGCCTGTGGGGCCTCTTGGGCCCCTCCTGGGCCTCTCGTGGGAATCTTGGGGCCATCTTGAGACCTCAAAAGCGCATCGGAGTCGAACGGGCGAGAAGGCACGCGCCCATGATTTTCTTTAGGTGTTTGATGGGTTTGGGCCCCTTGGGGGGGTCCTGAGGGAGCTCCGAGAGCACTTGGAACCGTCTTGAGGCCTTCGTCGGGCCTCTTGGAGATATGTCGGAAGCTATATTGAACCATCGTCGGCTATCTTAAACCATCTTGGAGGCCATCTTGGAGCATCGAGGCTCTCTTGGAGCCGGATTTGGTGCTCTAGCCCTTCTGCCCCCCCCGTCCAGACCCAGGGAGGTAGGGGGATGCAAACTTCCCCGAAGGGAAGAGGGTTTTGGAAGAGGAAAGGAAGATTTCGCTCGAAAACCTTAGCCCAAAGTGCTGGTGGGATTCAATATCTCGCTCTCGCGCGGAACTTCCTTACAATTTACCAAGGCGCGGTCGCGACCTCTCGCAATTTGTTTTCAGACGCCGCGCCCTCAACAGTCAAAAGTCACGCTCTCGCTTTGGACTTCCTCACGGCTTACTTGGGATCGCGGGATCGCTAGAGACTTCCTGGCGATTCATGCAGGACCGACGCTGCAGCGACCGGCCCGCTCGACCAGGCCGTCTGGGCGCCCGGTCGACTTGCCCGTCAGGGTCCGCCCGCCCGACCCGCTTGTTTGGTCCTGCTGCTTGGTTTCCTGCTCCGAACACCCCCCCTGCTAATCTCTCTCGTGCTCCCGCCTTCTCTCTCCCCCTTGCCCCTTCCCTCCCGGCGGAACCGCGCGCTCGCCTCGCCTCGCCTCGCCTCGCCTCGCCTCGCTAAATTCTTGTTTTACTCTCTATCTCCTCTTCCTGTTTCAGGGGCTGCACCAACTACACGTGGCAGGTGAGAAAGAGATACCCCCATGGGGGGCACGATCGAAAACGAAAATGGCGGGCATCGAGGGCTCGGGAGATATTTGTTGATTGGCATGCGAGCAGACAAGAGCGCAACGCATTGAAATGATTGTTCCTGCTGCTGCTGGTCCTCCTCTGACTATCCCTCATCACCCTCCTCTCCTGCTTCCCCCCCCGTCCCCCATTTCCCCCGTCCTTGTCGCCCCGCTCCCTCCCTCTACGCAGTCCTACTCCCTCCCTCGCCCGAGCCCGGGCGCTCAGTGCTTGCGGGCCCTCCCCACCAGTCTGGGTGAGATTGTGCGGTTCTCGGCTTGTCTCTTCTCTTTGCCACCGCTGCTGTACTGACCTCGGCGCCTCTCCTCATGTGCTCGCTGC